GTCAATGCATGACACCACATTTTCCCCAAACTTTTTGTGCGCTCTCTAATGCATTCAGGCTCCTGGCTCCGGGCACAGTGGAGCCCACACACCTGGCCCTGTCCGGGCTGCAGCTATAAAGCCGGGGCAGAATGTAAAGAGCAGGTATTGGAGGACGCTGGCAAGTAAACAGCAGCAGGGGGCCGAAGAAAAAACCAGAGTCAGGAGTGAGGTCGGTAGGCACTGTGTTGTCCTCTGCTCTCTCCCGACCTGGGCTCAAGGCATAGACAGTGGCACAAAGACATCGCATCAGAAGAAACCCTCCAGTTCTCACTCCCGGGACAGGACGGGGTCTCCTGGCAATGACAGTGACACCGGTGGGGACTGGCAGGTGCCTACCCTTCGGGAGGATGGGGGACCGCCTCTCCAGTTGGGAGAGCTGCGGTCCCAAGAGGGTGCAGCAAGCGAACCCTATTGCTGATTTTCTCACTCCGTCCTCCCATGGCTCGGTCCTACCGAGCGTGAACTTGTGGGACGTGCCCAGCAGAGTGAGGGAATGAAAGCTGGGGCTTTAGGACCAGAGAGGGAAGCACAGGGAGCCAGAAGGGACCGGGGAGGCCATGGAGGGGCAGCTGGGGAAGCAGCCCCTTAGGGTTGTTTATAAACTCCTCAGCTTCTCTCCTGAGCTGCACATGCGTAGAGCTGACCCTGGATAGCCCATCAGCAACTTGGAGAACTGAGGGTAGACACTGACCCCTGCCCAGGTCCCAGGCTGGCCACTCAACAGCACAGACATGAGACAAATGCAAATAACCTTACAAAGGCTTCAAAACTGGGCCTGACATTACAATCATGACCTCACAGGAGGCCAGTTACAACTCGCCCCTGCACCTAACCGGTTAGACCTTACTACCTGCACCTAACCGGTTAGAACTTGCCCCCGGCACCTAACCAGGGTGATTGCCTACCGACATGAAAATGCAAGACTCACAGTGTTATCATGTGGAAAATGCCCAAGATATTTAGCCGCAATTGGTTAAGACCTTGTCTCTTTTTGCTCTGGCTTTCCTTTGGGTCAGGCCTCATTTCCATGTGTTATGTTCTTTTCCTTAAAGACGGTCCCCCGAATTACCGAAGCTTCAGATCTCAAAACCTGGGTCTGCCCTTGCCCTATTCAGATGGCTCTAACAGGGATGGCATTAAACTAGAGTCGTATGTAAAAGGCAGCAAGCATTTTATTGGAAATTAATGAACAAGTTCTTACCCTGGGGGTTAAGGAAAGGAAACACCAACTTTTCCCTTAGTGCTCAGCTTAATACTGCTTCTTGAGGACATCTCTGAATCCCTAACACTTTATGTTTGTTATTCGTTTAATAACTATAAGCTTCCTAAGAAAGAGGACTATATCTCTTTCTTTTTACTGATACGTCCCCAAGTATCTATTACAATGCCTGACAAATAGTAAATACTTAATAAATGTAACCAAATTAATGAATTCCTTAATTCATGAAGACTTATTACACTTATATTTAAATGTACCCCATGTCTTTCCATGAAGAGTTTGAGACTGAGCACCTGCTCTGGACCAGGCGCAGAAGTTATGGGCTCACTTAGAAGACCATTAAACGTGTCCCCCCAGCTGCCTTGGCACAGGCCATGGAGTGCTTGGAATTGTGGGCAGCACCAGTCCAGCACTGGGGACATAAGCCAAAATTTATTTATGGAAGGACAAGCAACACTGAGATTACAGGAAACCCTCTTCTCTTCTTGTAACTCATGACGCCTTATTTAAAAAGAACAGAACGAGCTCCTTTCAGGTGTCATTCAGACATTGATGGCTCATAAAGACCTCCTTCTTTCTTTAATTAGGGACAGGTAATTCTCTTTGAACCACCTTGACAAATAAATTAAAGACCCCTGTTTCATAGTCAAACCTTTTCCTTGTCTCTGAACTATAATTGTAGAGACCAGAGTAGGACCCTCTTAAGGGTAGTGCCAGTTCTTCAAAGGCTCACCTGGTTTGGTCCCTCCCACAGACTAGGAGCTACCTTTCCTGCTGACATCTTCTCAGGCCAATTGCATCCGGGCAGATTTTCTTTGATGGTAGCAGCAGCCAAGGCAAAACTGGCAGCTGAGAAGTCTACATGCAGGAGGAGAAAGACAATAGAGATTGGGAGGGGGCGAGACAGAGAGGTTGACAGGTCTGGCAAAACGATAGCAGGGCCACAGAGAAGGGAGATTAAGAAGAGAAAGTGAAGTAAGAATTACAGAAACTAATGACATGATCTCAGAACATTAAACTTTCTAAGAGGAAATGGAAATCCTGGAAGGAGCAATGGTTTTGGAGCAAAGAAAATATGGTGTCCTATTATAAATATCCGCCAGAAAAAAAAACAGACGTTTGAGTAAAGAAGAGAAGACATGTCTTCTCTCCTCCAGTGGATGTGTGTGACTGCTATTTTTAAATCCACCGCGACTGGTGCCACTGGCCACCGTCCTTGCCCCGAGCAGTGAAGGAATGTGAGTGGTGTGGACCGGGGAAGGGGCTGAGCATGCAGCGTGCCATGACAGATTTTTATTTTCCTTTCCTCAAGCTCTGTGGGTGAGCTGCACCTCAAATTCCCAGCTGTCCTCTGGGTAATGAGGAAAATTATTGGCCTGACCTGGTCCTTGAGCTTTCATTAGTTTTCATTTCTCATTAAGACACAAATCGAAGAGTGAGAATGAAACACCTCTTGATTTATTATCTTACTGAAAATGGGAAGTGTGATCTTGCGGCCGAAACTGAGTGAAGGGCCCAGCTGACGAGATGAAGAGCCATCGCAAGTACGTGCCAGCGCGCGGTGGCCACCCTCTGCCTCTTTACTCCTGAGAACAGCAGGGAGCAATCTAACACCCAGAAATACTTTGAATCTCTACATTTAGGACTCAGTTTGGCACCTTCTCAGAGCAGAGATAGAAGGCCGAAGCCCATTGGGTTTTCCTCTTGTCAGGCACTGGGGTTGGATCGGCATTACCCCTCGCACCGGGACTCAGCTATGTGTCTACCCATAGACGCTACAGCTCGGGGGCGGAGGCTGTGTCCACACACCTGCCAGCTCCCTGCTCTGCCAGGCACGTGGCGGGGGCTTACTCAACAAATAGATGGAGAGGGTGGGTGGACACATGCATGTGAGAGGAGCTGACCGCTCTGAACTTGTATGTTTACGTGCATATCGAGTAACACCCTGCCTCACTACACAAAGGAAATAAAGGCAGTATGGCGGCTCCTCGGAAAGATTAAACACAGCATCACCATGTGGTCCAGCAATTCATAGGCGTATACCTAAAGGAATTGAAAGCGGGGTCATGCAGTGTTATTTACCACGGCCAGAAGGTAGGAACAACCCAAATGCCCATCGATAGATCAATGGACAAACAAAATGCGGTCTCTCCACACAATGGATTAGTAGTCAACCTTCAAAAGGACACATGCTCCAAATAGATGAACTTTGAAGACATTAGGCTAATTGAAATAAGCCAGACACAAAAAGACAAATATTATATGACTGCGCCTGTAGGAGGTACCTAGAATAGTTAATCTCATAGAGACGGGAAAGAGCATGGTGTTATCAGAGGAGAGGCGAACGGGGAGTTATTGTCTAACGGGTGCGAAGCCTCAGTGTGGGATGATGGGAAAGTTCCGGAGAGGGACGGTGGGGATGGCTGCACACCAGTATGACCGTACTTAATGCCACTGACCTGTCCCCTTAAAAAATAGTTAAAATAGTCAAGCTTGTGTGTTGGAGATTTACCACAATAAAGAAAAAAATTTAAAAAAAAAAAGAAAGCAATGTCCATTTAATGTACTAACCCTCCTGAACAGCCAAGAGAACGTCAACACTGCCCGTGACCTTGCTCCCAGGTGCATGTGATAAAGAGACGGTCACCACATGGTCACACAGCTTCCCAGGAACAAGGGCCAGCGCACTCTCCGCAGCTGCGCACTGCCCTCCTTCCCATGCGGGTCTGTGACAATACACCCTGGTTCTGTCATAGAATGCACGTGCCCCCACCTTCCAAGCCTGGAAGGTACAGAGCAATCTTCCTTGTCCCTTGAGTTACACCTCCCACCTGAAGATTACTCCCTTATTACTGCACACCAGCCTCCAAGGGACAAAAAAATACCCACTTGGGTTTACTCCTTCTCGACCCCAACCCTGTAGAAGCAGAGTCCCCCAGGGAGCCACGCTCAGGCTGGCAGGCCGGAGGGGCAGGGTTTGAACGGCAGCTCTTCGAATCGTTAGTTGCGTGGCTTTAGGCAAGCCACTTAAGTGAGCCCCAGTTTTCTCATCTGTAAAGTGGGGCTGCTAATGTGCCTACCTCACACAGTGGTGCCAAGGCCTCAATGAACAAATAATATAAAGTGCTTAACAGAGGGTCTACAATTACATGGGTACTCACTAACTATGACTTTCCTATAAGACGTGCATTACAGGTGGTAACAGGGATGGGGGGAGGACAGTCCTACACGTCATCGCAGGAGCTGAAATAACACATCAGCTCTACAGTCTGAACCCGGCACGGCCCAGCCAGCAGGAGGGGCCCCAGGAGGGAGCAGGGATACCAGCCGGCACGTCACTGGGGCTCCCTGGGGAGATCCGTGCTTCTCAAAGAATCCCCTTTACTGTTCCTCTCATCCCTCAATGCATTCCTTAAACTTTTGGGTAGTTTCTCTCTCTGGTGATAGATATATATACCTTTTTCTTACACCCACCAGCAAGTTTACTCATTCATGTTAGGAAATGCCTTGAGACCTGTACATCCAAAGACTTGGAGAGATGTTAATGTAATGCCCCATAAACATAAAACCCACGGAGGAGGGTTCCAGGGTGAAGCCATTCCCATCAGCACGAGGGTGTGGGTGACCCCTGACTGCACAACAATGCTCCTCCCACGGCCTCAGACAGCCAGACCCTCCTGCTCACTGTGCTGAGCGGAACTCGCTAACGTTAATTATTTTCTTAACTTTCATTATTCAGGTGCATCTTCCCAAAACCTGCAGACAGTTATAAAAAGGTAAGTGGAAGAGGTCCATGAGAAGTTATTTTTAAATTGAGCTTCCCATTTCTAAAAGTGAGTGAAAACTCTGTTGTCACCCTGTCATCACCTGCGCTGCGCGTTTGTAGCTTGTTAGCCACCCTGGGAGCCCTGGGGCATTACCCCTTCTGGGGTCAGTGAGCATTGGCAGTGTTAATTTGCATATGTCCTTCAAGAAGGGTCATAAAAACACCTACAAAGTGGGGGAAACTTAGATCTGGCCAAAGTATCTGAAAAAGACAAAAAGCATTGTTTTGTATTCCTGTTGAAGAATGAGAAAATAATTTGGGGTGCATGTTGGGCCTCAAATTCAGAAGCAAGGCTCTGGGTGCCCAGAATGGAAACCTCGGGGAACCCTTGATTTGACAAAGTTGACTGCAGGCCCACAGGATGTCGTATGAATCTGGACATAAGTAACCCAGATAACTCCCCTGTGTGTATTGACAATAAAGGCTGTGAAAGATGCTAGGAAATGGTAGCGTGTCTCCCCGCTGGACTTCATTCCACTCTTCAATCCTATACATTTATGGGGTCTTTCCCTCACAGGACGTAGACTGAAGATTATAGAGAAGAAAGGGAGAAGTGGGAATGATGATGACTAAAATGAAAGAAAAAGAGCAAAAAGTTCCCCAGAGAGCGGTCATTCAAAGACTCTTTCACAGGCCCAGCCTGTGATGTTGTTACAAAGCTAGGTTTCCAAGGGTTTGACATTCAGATTCCATCTGTGGCTTCTCAGTTTGTCTAGGCACCCACTGTGGGACCAGCCAGCCATCGTCATATACGCCATGATTGGAAACGATGTCTGCAACGGGTGAGTTATTAAGGGAGACAGTTTTGAAAATCCTTTACCTCTGGGTTCCCCGTTTTCTCCACTCCACTCCACTCCACCAGCCTGCTGTTGAATTAAATCTCTCTATCTTCCTCAGTCCCAGACACATGTGAAATTAGCAGAACCAACTTATAAGGCTAAAAGACCGTTTTAAAAAACATCTGATCCATTAAGTCTTTGCTCGGATTCACAACAAATGGGTGTGTCAGAGCAGCTCTGACTTACATCCTAAGAAATACGCTTCTGCCAGCCAAGAATCCAAGACTGAGAATCGCGACTTCTTTAAAGCAGAGTCACCGCGACCCCCTAAGAACAGCATTCTTTCTCATTTTCTCACATACATGCTCCTGTGGTAGAGACACCATAGACTTCGAGTGTTTGCAAAGAAACTACACCTACTTCACAGCCAATCCTATATACACCTATGGCCCATAGACGAAAGTAGTTTTGCTAACCTGCTAATATCAGTAGTGATTTTAAAATGGTGAATGATTTCATTCCCCTCACAACAGTGTGGAAGGCTTCTCAAAATCTGTGTGTCCCCCTAAGAATACGCTACATGTATGAAAACCATCTGTCCTGTGATCATGGCCAAAAAGGAAAAAAAAAAGTGACATCAGATCTCCATTTTAGAAAAACAGTGAAGTAAAGCCAAAGAGGTCACATGACCTGCCAGCCTAACTGATGAATGGCAGAGCTGGGCTCCACCCTACGTAGTGCTGGGGACAGGGGTCCCTGCTCACGGGACCCCTTTCCTGTCCTTCACAGCACAGCGTTGTCAAAGTGCCTGCCCTCCTGGACACCTCCACGGGAGCCTAGAACTCCTGCAGTGAGGGAGGTGTAGACCTACTCAGCACAGTGAATTCAGGGCAGGAGATATCAGGCTGTGACCCAGAAATGCTCATGTCCCACACCCTGCCTTGGCACCCCTAAGCTAGTGTGCCACTCTCCCCAGAACCCCAGTTCTTCCCAGGCTACATACTGGGGACCCCCAAGTCTCAACCTCTGCGACAAATCACCTGAGACTCGCCAGTAAAGAGCAAACAGCCCCTAAACCTGCCGTGAGCCCAGAGCCACACCACTCGCCTTATCAACTCACCCCCACAGCAGCCCCAAGAGGCAAGTGTGATTGTCCCCATTTCACAGATGAGGAAACTGAGGTTCTGCAAGGTAAAGGAACTTGCTTAGCCTGCCCTTGAACACTGAGCGGCCAAGCGGAGAGCCGAACGAGGTTCTCCGATGAACTTCTGCACTCCTTCCTACAGCCCGCGCTGGCCTTGATCGCTTTCCTTTATGCGTTCCCTTTTAAAAGTGAGCATTGAGGGCCTGCGACGTGCCGGCTCTGGGATGCACTGGCAAAGAGGCCACCGTCCCTGACCTCAAGCTCCCTCTGGAAGGAGAGGCCCCAGCCTCCAGCCCCGTCACAAAACAGAGCAAACCTGTGGTCGAATCAGCCGGCGCCCTCCAGCCTCTGAATCACGGTCCGCTGGAGGGGACAGAGGGCACACTAGTTACACTGAGTGCAGGACACCTGCAGAAAGAGGCTTCGATGCCAAGACCCAAAGCCCTGAAATGGTCCTTTTTCAGCAGAATCTGCTTTACCCAGAGGCCCTTCCAGCCAGACCCACTTTGCCTTTTCCAAAGAGCCAAGGGCAGGCAGCGATCAGCCAGAGAAGCGCGCCAGCTTTCCCCCAACCCCCCGCTGGGCTCTGGGCAGAGAAGCAGCAAGCATTTGGGTAAAGGAATGGAGCTGGCAGCGTGGGATGTGCCTGCGGTGCCCACTTTGCCACGTCCTGTGGAGGGGTTAGAAAAATAAAGACAGATGGCAGCTACACCGCCCCATCTGCCAGCACGTCAAGGTGGCGTGGATAACCCAAAATGAGCAAAGTGACTTCATAAGACGCTCACGCCAGCAACGAGTTGCATAAAAAGTCCATCCTGGAACAAGTCCGGGGATACTCGCCTGGCCTTTTCCTTTCCTGGGCTGACGATGATGCCGGCTTGCTCTTCCTGACATCACGCAGTCACGTGCTTCTTTCTCAGCCTCTCAACTCATGCAGTTCCTCCGTGGACTCTTGCTAGGTGAATGAAGGTCATGATGGGAAGACAGCTTTTCATGTCTGGAATTCAAGAAAAAAAGGCAATACAGGCGAACCTACGTTTCTCATTGCAGCTCTACTCAGTTTGGGCTGAGCTAACCCAGCTCTGCAGAGCTTTTCCGATCACTGCCCACAACAGCTATAGAATGTGAGTGATGGAGGAGAGAAATGCCTGGAAGCAGGGCGAATGGGAGAGAGCTCCAGCGGCAGAGCCTGCAGTAGCAGGGCCAGCAGTGGGGAAAGGGAGTGGCCTTAAGGCCCTCGAACCATAAAGGGGGATGGCAACGACTTCCCAACATCCCCACGCCGCAGCACCGAGGGGAGCGCTGCAATTGCTAGAAACGGAATGAAAGTATAAACGCGGCCAGCGCGAGCCACATGAGTCGCCAGGGTTCCCTTTTTCACAGGGAACCTAGAAATTATAAATGGTACGTTTTTTACTTAACAGAGAGAGCCAGGCCACCCCACACAGGTTGCCTGTGTGCCCCCGCCTTCGAGCACTTTTCCCTGCAAGGACAATGTTTCGGAGTCCACCTCTCCCCCTCCCCGGGCAGCTAGCTGGTCAGCACTGCGAGAAGAGGAAGGCAGGTGAGGGGCCGGCCCAAGGCCCCTGCACGCCCAGGGACAATCCATTCCGCCCTATCAGGTGGCAGAGGCCCGCCACGCAGGCGGTGACCAGGGCTGTGCTCAGAGGCTCTCGCTCCCAGCCTTCCCCATCCTGGCCAAGGGAGCGGTTTCCCGCCCAGCTGGCACGTTCCAGGCCGCGCCCACTCCTAGGCGACCCAGCAACTCTATGCATGGGGTAGTGTGAGCACCGAAGCCCCCCCCCCACTTCCCGTCTGTGTCAAGATGCCTCTCCGAGGGGCCTGGGTGGGACCCGAGAGATGTGATGACAATCGGCGGGCCTGAAGGAAGGGCCAGCTCTCTCGGGGGCGGGGCCTGGAAACCCACGTGCGGGTGCGAGTGAGGTCTGAGCACTCGGTCACGGTACATTCCAGGGGCTGGAGCCCTGGTTCTGGAAAGTGTCTCCCCCCGGGGGCAGCCCGCCTTCCTCCTTGACGGAGCACCCCCTCTGGCACCGGCTAGGGGAAATCTGGCCGGAAGGCCCGGCCGAGGGAGGGCATGATCGCGGCCCTGCACACCCATCAGGGGATGCTCTCTGCATGGTCAGACAGGACTCCCTGGGCAGAGACGGGCCCTGAGCCGCCCCACGGGCGAGGCTCCTTGTCTGTCCCGGTTGCCGTGTGTTCCCTGCGGCCATGAGAGCGCCGCGGTGGGCACCGACTTCTCCTCCCTCTTCTCCCTCAGCGGGAGCAACATGTCCCCCAGGCTGGTTCTCAGAGGTCTCCTCTGTGAACGTGGCAAAACCCCCACCGCGCCATCTGAGCCACTGGCCTGAGCTTGCTGGTGTGTGAGCGGGACGCAGGACGCTGAAGTGGGCAGGCAAATGTGGGGCGACACAGTGGGCCTGACACGGGCCGGGACACCTGGGCTGGAAAGGGTTACACAGCCTCAGCCCAGCCCACTCGGCCTAGGAGGTATTCTCCCAACCACTGGGACTCCGGTCTCTGAAATTCTCAACTAAGCCCCCTTAACAATCACCAGAGGGAAGAGTAGGCAGGCCAAAGTGGCACGGATAACTTTTCAGGGGCAGAGTCACAAGGCACCTTCTACAACATGCGGAATAGGTGGCCCCCCGCCTGTCACTTAGACCCTTTTGCCCCTGCACACTAGGCGATCTCACTGGCCCAGGTGTGTCAATTCAGTTATGCAGGTGCACATGCTGGCGCAGGGACACCCGGAGGACGTCCCGTTAGCCACACTAGGCTCCCCTGTGATTTCCCTGAGTAGTCAGCCATTGGGGGTCACGCTTGCTCCATTTGTGGGGTGCCCTTTTCATGGGTGCAAATTAGCTCAGATCCTTTGTTTATCATCAAGGCCGAGCCTCTGACCACACAACCATCATTAAGCAGGGGCTGGGAGACTTGCTCGATGTTACTTGCCTTTACGTGGTCGAAGAGACTTCACTCAGCGTAATTGCTTTGTGCTGGTGCTGTTGTATCAACAACAGAAAAAAACAACAACAAAAACACGAAGGTGTGAAGGCAGAAGACACCAGAGGATATGCTGGGGCTTTCCTGGCGACAGGGGACAGGACACAGACCCCCAACCCACTCTCATGTCACTCCCGCTCCCACTCCAAGGATGCCAGGAACGTAAAACCGGTCCCTCTGGACGGGCTCTGCTGGTCTGGATAAACTCGCGAGGCAGCCGGGACCCCTTTCCCTAACCGGGCGCTTCGAGAGCCTCTGGGTGTGTACAAATCAGGCCAAGGCCCCAGCCAGCCTTCTGCCCCCGGCAGGTAGAAGCAACTGCTTCTCAAATCCTGTGAGTGCTTCTTATGCAGGTTAAGGAGACTGGTATTCATAAAGTAGTATAATTTTTCCTGAAGTAACCAAACATGAATTTAGCACTCTGTTCTACTGGGCTGGCCGGAAAGTTCGTTCGGTTTTTTCCGTACCATGGCTCTAGTAATGCTTTGTCGTCTTAAACTTCATTCAAAACAACTTTGTTGGATTGTATTGTGACAACGGTCATTGTCAGCGTGTGTTTAAAAAAAAAAAAATTATCACAATTGGTGGATTTTTGCGTAGCCATTTTAATATTGACAATGGAAGAAAAATACACATTTTCAGCATATTATGCTTTATTATTTCAAGAAAGGTAACAACGCAACTGAAATGCAAAAGATAATTTGTACAGTATATGGAGAAGGTGCTGTGGCTGACTGAAAGCGTCAAGTGTTTTGCCAAGTTTCATGCTAGAGATTCCTCTCTGGACGAAGCTCCACAGTCGGGAAGACCAGCTGAAGTTGATAGCGATCAAATCAAGACATTAATTGAGAAAAATCAACATTATACCACGGGGGAGGGAGAGAGCCGACATACTCAAAATATCCAAATCGATCAAGTTATTCATGAAAATAAAAAATGTGTCTTTTAGTTTACAGAAAAAAAAACAAAAAACAGGCTTTTTGGCCAATCAATTCAATACATGCTGGGATTTGTTAAAGTGGGACAAATTCCTTCCCTCCTTCCCTCCCTCCCTCTCTCCCCTCCTCCCTTCCTTTCCTCCTCTCTTCCTTTCCTCCTCCCTTCTTTCCCTCCTTCCTGATAGCCCAAGCAACCCAGCCCACAGTTTAGAAGCACGAACGCCCACCGCAGCCACCTTCCTACGGGCTACCCAGCCATGCCAGGCCTGCTCGGCCTCGTCCTCCATGTGGGTGGATGCTGCCTGTCACAGGCCGGCCCCTGGGCTCCCCTTCAGCCTTGTCAGCTGGAAAGCAGCAATTGAGGAAGTGGTTTTCTTTGAAATAGGTATAGGGGAAATGACATAAAATAATGTTTTCTGTCCCTCCCATTAAAGCTGAGATGGAGTCCAGTTTTTCATCCTTTAGAAAGGATAATGAAAATGGTATGGCAATCTGTTATATTTATATTTTTTATCTAATTACAAAGTAACATCTGTTGTGAAAAGTTCAAAGAACACGGGGCTTCGGAAGTGAACGTTTTCCCATCATCACGCCCTGCCATCCTTACTACGGTGCAACAAGCTAAACAGCTTTTTAACCAGCTTTAACTTAGGAGTGTCTCTTTGCAGCCAACTTTTCCTATGAAAATTCTAATTTACACATTTATTAATATTCATTAAAGGAAACATTATGCTTACTGCACTACCATTTGTTTTTTTCACTTAACAATACTTTTTAACAGTCTTTCCATGCTAATGAATACAGATTATTTTATTCTTTTTATATATATTTTTTATTTTACGGGGGTGAAACTCACATAATGTAAAATGAAGCATGTTAAAGTGAACAGTTAGTTCCGGGGCATCTAGTCCATTCAGAATCTTGCACGGCCACCCCCCTCTCGAGTTCCTTCGTTCTGTTTAACGGCTGTAGAGCTGTCAGTGTGTGTGGGCCACAGCTCTGTTGGCGGCCTTTGTAACTTTCCCCAGTTTATACTATTCCAAGCAATCTTGTTATCTGTATGTACATTTAATTGTACATTTTTGCACATTTGTGGAAATTTTATTATGGGAAAATTTCTTGAAAGTAAAATTTCAAGGTCAAGAGTTAAGTCTCCTTTGAATGTTGACACATTTGTGAAAGGTCCCTCTGTTTAGGAGCTCCTTTCAAAGAGAGGACAGTGGGTCTCCCCGGGGGCTTTGTTCTGTCCCCTCTTCCCATGTGGCTCAGGCCCTGGGTTCAAGCTGTGAGTAATGGACCTACTTTTTCTGGTTTGGAATCCTACTAAGTTCCAAGGGTTGCAGTAACAAAGTCCTGCAAACTGGGTGACTGGAAACAAGAGAAATGTATCCCCTCACAGCTCTGGAAGCTGGAAGTCTGGACTCAAGGCGTTGGCAGAGCCTGGCTCCCCCTGAAGGGCAGAGGGGGAAATACCTGCTTGCCTCTGCGTGCTTCCCGGGGCTCCCAGCAGCCCTCCCATTTCTTGGCTTGTAGCCACAGAACTCTAGTCTCTGCCTCCATATTCACGTGGCCCTCTTCCCGTGTGGCTGTGCGTCTTCTCCTCTTCTTACAAAGACGCTGTTCATTGGATTTAGGCCCACCCTAATCCAATAGGACCTCATCTTAACTAATTACACCTGCAAAGACCCTGTTTCTCATAATGATCACATTCTGAGCGATGCTACTCAACCCATTATAGCATCATTCGGCAAGGCTGGAATTTTAAGGACTCAGATAGAAAACAGCATATAGCATTGTTTCATTCTGTTTAATTTCAGGCGATTTAGAGCCTAAGGGGCAAATGAAAATCTTAGAGAATTTATGTTCCCAGGTTAATGCGGGTTAGTATCTTAATTCGAACTGGGGGCATTCTGTGTACAAAAGTCGATAGTGTAAAAAAAAAAAAAAAAGAACAATAATAGATTTACATATTAAAGCCAAAACGTATTCTAGCATCCTTATTTACACTTTGCCTTTGAAACATAACTTGAAAGAAATTTAAATATAACTTCCAATGATGTATTTCTAGAAGACATTTGCATATTCCTTATCTTGTTTTATTCCAAACCAAATGAAAAAGAGTCAACCAGCCTAAGTTGAGAAATGCCTGATTGAAGCTAAAATTTCATTTCTTTCAGCTCACTTGTGATTTCCATCTTTATCTTAAATTCTTTGATTTTAGGCCGATGTTCTTATAACTACTTACAGAATATCCTTTTTCTGTGTTCACTAACTCTTACGAAACAAGGAGAAAAATGTAATTGTGAATTTCAAACGTTCCATATACAGCACAAGCACTGCTCTGAAGAGAAGAGCCGTGGTGCGGAACGGAACTGCCCGCTGGCGGGTGGCGTCGCAGGGAGAGCCTGAAATAGCAAGGAAACTCGAGGAAGTTCAAGTTCAGTGTTGAACAGCAGGGTATACTGTGGGCACATCATGCACCTTCATTTCTCAGTGACATCCAGTTTCCCTCACTGTAATAGAGGGGGCAAGTGTTAAAGACCAAGTTGCAGACCTTGAAGTGCCCAACAAATAACAGGCAGACTCCTTCAATTCCCCTCGCTGTACCTATCAGTTAGGATATGTGAGGTTATGCTGCAGGAGCAAGCAGCCCCTAAAAGTCTTAGGAGCATAAAGCAACAGTTACTTCTCACTCCCACAACATGTCCATCAAAAATTGTGGCTCCGTGCCAGGGCTCGGACTGAGGATGTAACTGCTGTCCGGAACGTTGCCCACATCCATGGCAAAGAAAAAGAGCTTTCTAGAGGCTCTTATACCACCAAACACAACACATGCCACTTCTCACAACTCATGCGTCAGACCAGTTACATGGCCCACCCAAGCACACGGGAATCAGGAAGCCAGAAATCTTTTTCAAATAGCACCAACAACCACCACAGAGTGGGGCGGGAGGGACCTCAGGGGACAGGTATTTTGTATTTGCATGTACTTATCCTTATCATCCACTGAGATTTTCTATTTCTTTTCCCAACAGGAAGACTGACCCAGTCCCAGAAATGACCACTCCTGAGCAATTCTATTCCAAGGTCAGGGAGACTCTCGAGTACCTGCATTCCCACCTGCCGAACGGCAGCCACGTTATTTTGTACGGCTTACCAGACGGGACCTTTCTCTGGGATAACCTGCACAGCAGATACCATCCTCTCGGTATTGCTTTGAAGCTACTTTTACTCTTTAACGATGTCAGTGGCTATATAGTTCAAATATACATAGTTCGCATTGTATAGGAATACGCCCCAAATGCCTTCACACTCCGTGAATCGGAAATGATGAAGGGGAGTAACCCCAGGGGCAGGATCTAAAGGTCAGTATCCAAAGGTGGGCGGGGCCATGGAAAAAGCCAGGTCATGCAAAGCCAGGAAGGGCAGAAGTGTTTAATGAAGAATTAAGACAAATTGAAAGGTAAGATTTTTAAGTCAGGAAACTCCTTGAACTGAAGGTGAACCCTAGAATGAGCTGATGAAGCCCCAAGGAGAGACAGAAAGCTTCCATAGAGTCAAAGGGCAGAGTTTTCTCAGGCTCTCAATGGTGAGCGCCCCCTGGTGGCCAGGTTGAATTCTGTAGATGGCGGTCCTCCAGTGAACGTGGTGTCCTACTTTGACATTCCCTTCAAGTCCTTGGCTCTGAAATGCTTCAGAGGCCCCCAGAAATTTCTAACAGTATCTCTAGCATTCCAGATGCATTACGTTGTAAAAGTAGTAGTGATTTGCGTTAGGAAGAGTGGCCGTGCTGATCCTTAAAACGCCCCTGTGAGATCTGTGTTTTCAGTCATTCCATTGAACAGATGAGAAAAAAGAAGGCTCAGAGAGGTTAGGTAGCTTACCTACCTACGGTAAGCTTACCAAAGGTTGCGTGACTCATTGTCACGTGAGCTGGGGGTAGCACAGCTCTTCTTCCTGTGTTTTGGAGGAGAATGCCTTTTCAAAAAAAATGATTAAGTGCCAATGATGTGCCACGCACTGAGTAACCCGCAGTGAACACAATGATCAAAAATCCCAGCCGACATAAGGCTTATATTCCAATGGGAGAAGGATTCCCAAAGCATGTCAGAGGATGGTAAGTGTTACAGGAGAAAATGGGGGGCGGGGGGAGGCGCTCTCCTCAACCCCATATTGACAGCACCTGGGCCAGTCTTTCATTAAAGGGGCCACCCCCTCGCTGGTATGGCCATACCCCCTTCTTTGCACCAGCCCCAGGTAAAATGCACTGGAGCTCCAAGCAGCATCTTTTGAGTCAGGTGAGCAGTTCATAAGGGAAGACCTGAAACTCCTTCCTCGGTGCCTCCTCACAAGAGCTCCTCTCCCTTGCACGTGCAGCTCCTCCGTGCCTCTCCAATCTCCTCCTGCCCCCTCCTGCTCTCCTGTTTGTCAAGCCCCCCACCTCCCTCAGGGAGTCCCTCCCCACACAGGAAGAGGACAGGGGCCTTTTAAGGGCTCCAGGGAGGACGCAAGCAGACCCCCACATTCCAGGCTTCTCAACCAAGAGCCTGAGGTCGTTCCTCTGCAGTTAAGGAATGTGCTATAAATGTCACTGTTATCCAAGGAAAACGCTGCCTAGCATATTCCTCCCTTTCCCGTGGCTTTGACCATGCCCCTTAGAGATGATGATGTGACATGTTGGAGAACTTGCCTCCATCCTGGGCCCCCTTGGACTCAGGAGGGACAACCACATGGGCAGAGATGGGTCTGTGAGCCCCTGGCTTGGAAAACTGCCATTCCCCCAAGAGGTGTTTTTGAATTCCTAAATGTTCCCGTGTTCAGCAACGCCTGGGGCTGGGACGTTGGGGCAGGGCAGACGAGCTCCTGTCTCACTGCCTCCTACCCGTAAGGATTCGGCTTTGGGTTTTCTGACTTTACATTTCATTCTTGGGCCGTGCCCTCCCATTCAACTGCCTCTGTAAATTCTTTCAGATATACCACACCAGTCACTTGACTTAACCACAGCACGTGACAAGGACTCCGTGCAATTTGGAAGAGAGGCCACCGGTTCGCACCCAGAGGCAGCCAGCCGACCCCTACCCATTATCGCAGCTGGGCAGGGGCTGCTTCCAGCACTTACTGGGTAGAATCCAGGGATGGCCCTGAACATCCTACCAAGTGCAGGACGGCCCCCCACCCCCAAGAATGGGCAAGGTTGAAAGACTCTGCCCTAGGCTTTGCTTTGTCCTCACATGGCCTCTCTCCAGCAGCTAAGCACGCACTAGCATTTCACCGCATAAAAGAGGAAAAAGGGAAAGATGCAAGCAGTTTGTTCTATATAAACAACCCTTGTTTTTTTTTTTAAAAAAAAAATCCAATTAGAGAGAAAGATGAAACCCTCAAAAATGTGTTTAATGTTTCTAAGTTATTATTCATTTCCTAAATTATCCCTGCTGCCTGGTTGCCATGGGAAATAAAGCATGAATTCCTCAATGAAGCAGCAGGGCCCTCCGCGGACAGACCGGGGAAGCAGGCGGGACTTACCAGCTTGCCCCTTCCTCCTTTGGCAGGGACACAGCTCACAGAACACGAGAGGCTTGTAGAGAGGGCTGCTGCCTTCACATTGTCTCTGTCTTCCTCCTGCTACAAATCCGATCTTTGGATCTTTGTTCTTAGGTTCATGCTGGGCCAGCCTCTGGGTTTAGCTGCTCTGCCTAGGTTAGGACGGCTCTCATCTCAACCAATAGCAGAACCCCACCCTAGTCTGAGTCCCAAGGCCCCAAAGCCCCCTGTATCTGCTGACAAAGGTTGTATCAGCAGATACAGGGGGTGTTCCACTTTACGTCTGTCGTTGAGCCTAGAAACATGATGATGATGATACTCTAAATTTAGACTCAAGTAGCGAACCTTAAGGGTTAGGAAAGAGTTCAGGGAGCAGAGGGGGCTGGGAAATGACCCCTAAATCAGTCACCTTATCTCTCATGCCTCACTGGGACAGGCAGGAACGCAGCCTGACCAGCTGGCAAAGACAAGGGTAAATGCCCCGGCGCCAGATCAGCAGGTCGCGCAGGCCCAGAACAAGCAGAGGTTCCCAGCGCACTCCTGCCAGGAGAAGGGAGTGATGGACCCCCAGGCATGGCCATACCTGGACCCCCCGTCTTCGGCCCTGTTGGAGAGTCACTGTGCGGTCAGTGCCCGGCCCCTGAGGGCCGAGACAGCCCCACAGTCTCCAGCAGTAATTAAAATTCCCAGGGAGAACGTGTTGTCATTGTGAGGAATTACCAGAGAGTAAGTCTCACACATTAGGATTCTACACACTCAAGATCTTTTCTTTTTCTTGTTTATTCCTTGCCCGAGGATATGTTTTATTGGTTTTAGAGAGAAAGGGAGAGAGAGAAACATTGAATTGACGATCCGATCGGTTGCCTCTCATAGGCGCCCTAGCTGGAGATCGAATACACATCTTGTCCGTGCCCAGGATGATGCTCCACCCAACTGAGCCGTCCAGCCAGGGCTGTCCTCAGGATCTTTTGAGAAAGGTCGGCTTTGACAAGTGACAAATCCTCTCAGGCACAGCCTAGGAGGAAGGCGACCTTTCCATAAATATGTCTGAGGTCCCTGGGAGGGGCTTTGTCAGGGTAAAGATGACACTGAGATGGAGGTCTCATTCTTCAAGGAGGCAGCAAAGACAACTCCCCTGGGAAAACCAGAATCTAGATCCTGAGAGCGAGTTACCAAGGCTCAACAACACGACGCTGGTCCGAGCCACAGGCGCCCTGGGAGCTGTCCACAGGGTCACACTCTGGTCAAGGTGTCTGGGGTCGCTGGCCACAGCAAGGGTGCACACGGGCCGTCCTTGAAGGACCCCTGCCACCAAACATTAATGACTTCATTTTACACTGATTACTCTTAAACTTAACACATAATGTATTTTAAAATACATTGTAGTGTACCTTATATTTCACTAGTGGCTTCCTCCCTGTCTAAATTAATGTGTGTTTACTGGTTTTAGCAGTACCCTAGAGGCGTTTCATAGAGGTGTGATTGATCTTTGTTGAAACTAGGCTTTAATGATGCCTCAAATGTCAGTTGTGGTCCCTGCATTAAATAAATACCAAAGACCCTCCGTAGAGGACCACAAACGACTGAGACGCAAATGGCCCCTCTAGCCAGCGGCGGCCGAAGCTGCCCTTTCGGCTTCAAAGGGAGCACAAGGCACCCCTGAAAGCCCCTGGCGCCCCAACCCCCCCCCCCCACGCACACTCACGCAGCCGTCCCCATTCCCGGGGGACGGTGCTTCTGCCTTGCCCTGGTCATTCCTGACCAGCTTTGTGCACCAGATTCACCTCCTGACCAGGGAGCCAGGGCCACAGCCTCTGTACAGCCAGCCCCACGTGTCCGGAGAACCAGCCTTTCCACCCGGGCGCCCCCGTAGGCCAAACGGCCATCAGAGTCACAGGGATAGAAGGTAACACCTAAAAAGAAAGAGCCAATGACCGACAATGGCAGTAGGAACTCTTTTTCTCTTCTCTTCCTTTAAACCATAAGCCCATCGCAAGCACTCCCAACCGACCCCCATGGGGCCGACCAGAGCCACGCCCCCGCAGCGGAACCGCCCGAGAGAAGGGAAGCCATTGCTCCGCAGCTTCCCCAGCGGCCGTTCACTGCACCTGACTGGCCTTTGTGCTGTTCAGCAGACCTCCCTGGTCTCATTGGGCTCATCCCTTTGTCAACTTGGCTCAGTGGGAGCCAGGGCCAGACTGACGGGGGCAGAGCAGAAGGGACAGGGAGTAGGGGAAGGCTCAGAGGGAGGGCACGCCCTTGGTCCCATCCTCAGGTGTGCTGGGACCTTGGCCAGAGGCCCGCAGGGAGAGGGCAGGAAGCCAGGATGAACAAAGGCCATGGCCGGGCTCACCCCCCGGAGCGGGGCCGGCAGGTGAGTCCCCAGTATCCAGGAGCGGGACCAACTCCTGTGCCGCTGGGTGTCAGAGCGGTCCGGGCGTGCAGGTGAGAAGGGGGAGGGCGCAGGGGTGCTGCTCCTGGTCGCGCTAAGGCACTGCCTCCTCCAGGTTGAAAAGACTTCAGCCACTGAGCCGGGGAGTGAGAGGCACCTCTGAGGGAGAGGGGACTCGTCAAGGCCAAGCACGGGTCAGGGTCCCAGCCAAGCTACCTGAGGTTCATTACCAGGTCACAGCCCCAACAGAGGAGTGAGGCGGTGGGGGAGGTGACGGGGGAGGCAGCCGCTTGGGGTGGGGGGCGGGGCGGCGGCAGGACAGAGCCAACTGACTGGGGACAGGGAGGACCCATGGCACAGAGGGGAGGCTGCGGGTGTCAGTCACTGCAGCCGGGTTGGGCTGAGACAGGCAGGGACACACATAGAAAGGAGACAAATTACAAAAAGTACTGAGACAAAAGAAAAATAGAGAGGAAAAGAAGCCCACTGGTGGGGAGTGGGACTTTGGAGAAAGTGGGAGCTCAGGGCTCCATGTTGATTCCAGGAAATGAAAGCAAAGGCCGGGGGTTTGGGATTCATCAAACACGTGAAGACAAGGACGCCCCCCTGGGAGCAGAGGACGCCCGGCGTGTCACCGGGACTTTAACGGCGATAATAAGCCTGTGGTTTTCCAGTCTTGGGATTCACTCAGGCGCACCGAGAGATAATATATTTTTCTTCTATGACAAGAAAATTGAATCTCTCTTTCAGTCGAACAGATCTGAGGTATAAGTGAAAAATAAGACTGCTCCATCACCTTCAATCTTTCTCTTCGCTCCAAGATGGGGCCTATTATTTGCCTTTATTTTTCCGCGCGTGAGAGAAGTGTTAATGAATAAGACATCAGTCATCCCCCCCTGAGATCTGGGAGAGCCGGGATTTTGTGTCTCAGCCACAGCATGAAAGTGGAATTGCCTCTGGGGGTAGGTGTGCTGTGAGCGGGGAAGAGAGGAGGGACGTGAAGGAAGAGAAGAAATAAACCCCACAGATCCTGCGTCTGCAATTGATGTTTAGAAAGGCTCTGGACGAACTCGCCTGGGGTGCGCGTTGCCTTTATTTTTAGGTACCTTCTGAACTTGCACCAAAATATAAGGATGGAGCACAGCTACCATTTAGGGCTCAATAAATAAGATCCGCTGGGCCGTGCAGGGATGTTGTATGCTGACCTCCCCCGCCAGTGGCTGCCCAAGGCCAGTGGCTGGGAAGCCTTCAGTTCGCTAAACTGCAGAGCTGTTCAGATGCCCATCGCGTCCTGACCGGTCCACCCCGTGGATACGTGGGTCAGGCCTGGGTGTCATAAACTTGGAAAGGAGGGCTTGTCAATGACCACCTTGAATGCTCTCTGCGCCCCCAGGGAACTTGGCATTTTGTACCATCACCAGGAGAATGGTATGAAATGCTCGCAGAGTCCATTGTGAGGGATGCTGTGGTCCACATGGGCCCTTGCATCCTCTGCCTGGGTCCAGATCCAGGGAGGCTCTGCCCTCACCCATGCCACAGGGCAAGAAGGAAGTCAACTCCTAAGTTAGGGAAGGAAGCCCCTCCCTAAGTCCAGCTCTGAATTTCTGGGGGCTCAGAAAGAAGGGAAGCACAGGCGTTCTTTGAGAGCCATGCCAACTGAAAAATCAGGGCGGGTCCCTGGAAGTGCCAGCCTTCTGCCAGGGAGGCAGGGTCACCCATAAGGGTCCCCATTGGCCGCCATATGCGAGCGCACTCCACACACCTGCCCTCGCTGTCTTCCAGGCCAGCTGAATGCAGACGTGACCTACGAGCAGCTCTACTCCTTCCTCAGCTGTCTTCAGGTGAGCGCCCCCGACTCCGTCCGAAGCCACACCTCCTCGCCACCCCCAGGGTTCTCTGTAATCAAAGTGGTGTTTTCCTGCTCCCAGGTCAGCCCCTGCCATGGCTGGATGTCTTCCAACAGGACTCTCCGGACCCTCACTTCAGAGGTAGGTCTATCCCAGGCCTTTCGATGACATTTTGGATTATTCTTGTCCTGTGTTTGCTGTAGCGTTTTCAGCTGGGGTTGCGGTCTTGGCAGCGAGGCAACCTCCACACTGGTGAATAGAAACATCAAACTTCTTGCAGGGGACGTCAGGAGGCGAAGGAATGTGGGGTGCCCTGTCTCTCTCCTTGTGTCCTCTCTGGTCTGTCACTTATACTGTGTCAGTCAGTCATTGTCTCTGTGTGTGTGCGTGCGCCTGTCACTCTCGTATGCACACACACATGCACACACACTCCCTCCCTTGAAAGCTGGTCCTGGGCATACTTGGGCAAGCTGAGAGAAGTGGGGGAGGTTAGGCCCTGTGTCTGAGTTGTCCCAAGTTCAAGGGGGGCTAGGCCCTCCAGAGCTCACTCTCTCTACATGAACATATGGTTCGTGCAGTTCCTTCACAGATAATGAGAACTTTCTTTGCAAAAGATTGAACAAAATTCTTTACAGATATACTTCCATTTTTAAACACCTTAGAGAATGTTTAAAAAAAAACAACAACAACACAAGGAATAATAACAAAACTCACCCCAAATCCCACTACCCAAAGCTAATATGTGTGCATGTCTCTCCAATATTACTTTCATAGATAGATATTTTGGGTTTTTTGCCTACATAATGTCGGAATACACAGATTGTTTTATGCCTTCTGACCTTCATAAATGCTTCTTCCACATCGTAATTTTGCAGTCGTTAGGATACAACATGTGTATGTACCATGATTTATTTCATCCCTTGCAGTTGGACATAGAAGGTTCCCAATTTTTCACGGTGATGAATAGCATTGTGATGAACCCGGGTGTGTGTGTGTATCTTTGTGTACCATATCTATTTCCTTAAGACAAATTTCTAGAAAAATTACTGGGTCAAAGAGTAGATCATGTGTACCCTTCTTGCTGTGCTGCTCTCTAGAAAGGTTAAACAAACTGACATTCTGCACCGGTCCCCGCTGGCACTGTTCAACGTCACGCCAATTGTTCATCTTTTCTTCACCAAACCCGCAGGGGAAAGAGGGATCTGATTACTTTCATTTGTGCTGATTTGGTTGCTAATGAATTTTAACAGTTTGTGTGCTTGTTGGCCAGTTGTGCATGAATAGAAATTAACGTGCCAAGCTGCTCTGTGCCTTGGCTGGGGGGGGACCCCGTCTCTTTGTTCTGCCTGTATCAGCTCGCTGAACTCTAGGCTTCATGACATTCCCTCTGTTCCCTTTTGCATTCAGAGAGCAAAAGAACTCTCCCATATGCTGAAAAAAATCGCAGCCAGCGAGAAATTTCCGAACTTCGATCTTTTCTACGTGGACTTTGACTTCCAAGAAAGTAAGTGTGGCTTGGTTTGGCTAGTGACACAAGACATAAGCAGCAGCCAGGTTCCGGGCCTGCCCCAGCCCGGTGCTTAGGAGCCAGCGGGGAGCAGGTTGCGCACGGTCTCTCCTGACCGCCCTGACATACGAGTTGCTCGAAGTAGGGTGGCATGTGGCCGGGCTGAGGGCTGAGGCAGTGCCTGGCATAGCCGGCGCTGGATTGGTTACCTAGGGACTCAGCAACGATGCGAACCAGGCCCCGCGCATGAAGAAACCAATCGGGGTTCTGTGGGAGGGACCTCGGATTTATGTGCCTGTGGCGGCGCGGACAACCCCTCTCCCGTGCTTCCTAGAAAGGACACTAGTCTTCCTGTTCCGGCATTCTGTCCAAACGCAGGGGTCACCGAGGAGTGGCCGCAAGAAACAGGCATGATCCCTGGAGCGATGGCTTTCTCCTTACATTTTGACTCTGAAAAATTATTGCTTAGCGGCTTTCATCCTTCCAGTCTCATTTTCACCGCTAAGCAATTGTTGGACAAGAGCAAGGTGTCCCGTTGACGGACTGCCCTCAGAGGCGATGCCAGCGATAAGCGTGCCGGAGCAGGCAAAGGATGGACGCCGTCTCGTCCGGAGACGATCCCTCTGTCTCCTCACCACTAACCGCGCCCCGGCCCCAGCAGGTGGGCCTTCACGAATTACCAAATATTACATTAGCTGACACATTTGGCATTGCAGACTCTAGTACTTCAATTCCGAGCATCTTTTCAACAAGACTGATCACCCTTAACCAGATTTCCTGCCCAGGTGATACATAGTTCTCTTATGGGGAGAGACATGTTGATATATAGCCTCTCCTTACAATGCAGAGCTAAAGACTCATTAATGAATTCCCGCTGTAAACAAATACACCGCCAAGTGATCTTTGATCATCATCAACCTTGAATATAGATAAAGTCATTAAAAATATAGTAACAGCTAACATTCACAGGGGACTTTTTCATTTTCCGAGGTAGCCTCTAGCTCTATACTTTATTATCTTTGGGATTACAGGCAATTCCCTGAACATTTCTAAACGCTCCCTTCCAGACGTGAAAATGGGAGGCCACCTCTATGTAACAATCTTTGCCACGATTATATGAGGTAACGTGTGGCCCTCCTAAATGCCGTGTCTGGTGCGTTGCTGGCCCCCAGAAAAGAGTACCATTTCTGTCACAGCCTTGCTCTTCCACGTGTGGTTTGGGACAAGCAGCATCCACCCCACCTGGGGGCTACTTCTAAATGCAGAACCCCAGACCCACTCCTAATTAGGGCCTAGGAATCTGCGTTTTAGCGCACTCCACAGATGATCCACAAGCACATTAAAATTTAATAAATGGGGCTCTACAATGCTCCGGCAAGTCATCAGGTTTTGACTGAGCCCCACTTATGTGCTATGTGGGTGCTGGGAAGACAGCTGTCAACAAAACAAGAGTCCCTGTCCTCCTGCAGGACCTAGACCGAAGAGCTTGGACCTGCCCCCGCGCTGGCCAGCGGCCCAGGGATGACCTTCATGCTTGGAAGCAGAGCCCGCCAGGCCCTGCCCGTCCTCATGGCAGCGCCGTGGTCCCTTGGGGTCTGAAAAGCTGCAGCTTCGCGGCGAAGCGAGCAGGCTCACACCCCTCGGTTTATTGGGCTCCGCGTCTAGTTCCCTTTGCTCGCATTTCCCATCAATAATTAGCTACATACCAACGGCACCGCCCTGACAGAGCACACCGCAGTCAAGGGCCCTGTCCCCGGAGGGTGAGCGCAAGAGCGATCTGCTCTCCGCTCTGACAGCCTCGGGCCAGCCGTGAGAGGCGATCGATCGATCGATCGCTCGTCTCCAAAGGCTCTCCCTGCCCCTGGCTGACTCGTCCTTAGCTGGTTATGGACTAAATAGAGGCAGTGATTTTCCCACTTCAGGAAAGGGCAGCAGAGCGGGTGATATCCTGTGTCTTCGGCTGTGCCACACCCCCCACACAGAGGACGGAAAATGCCACTGGACTGTCAAGGCCGCTTTAACACTGACTGTTGAACCACACCACCTGCTCCCTCCCCTTCCACGGGCACGTCCTTTGGAGTAAACCTGACCTTGAGACCTCACCATGTATCCGTTTGTAAAACAACCCGTGACTTCCTGGTGTTGAGCAGGATGCTCCTCTCTTTCTTTAAATACCTGAGAGTCTTGCTGTTCATCAAGGAACCACCCAGCGTTCTGTGAATCTCCTTCCGCCATTTCTATTGCCTCTCTGAAAGCTGGTCATTAGCAGAGTTTCTCTGATTTCGCAGATAAAGACAATGCATTACAGCCAAACCCCGAGAGACCTGTGTTGGCCTTTTGAATTACAATCCCGGGTAAGAAGGAAACCCACCCACTCATCTTGCCGCCCCTGCGGCCTCCCACTCTCAACTCAGGGAAGAAGCAGAGACCACTGTCTGGCATCACAGTTATTCTGAGACGACAAAGTTTCACCGTGAGACACGCAAACTACAGCGGGTCACTGTGTCTGGCGCTTGTCACAATACACGTGAAAACTTAAACCCTTGCCTCTGTTACCAACTTGACTTCCAGGTGTTAATACCGATGTCTGCAAATAATGGGATGACTGGGGACCTTTGCCAACACAGTGATAATGTACAAAAAGGCTATTTTCCACGGTGAATAGACAGATTGCAGCCTTGGTAACCTGTGGCCTGTCTCTTAATACCTATCAGGTTATTCCCTATAAGCCAGTTCTTCTACAGGCTGGATTCATCGTAGAGCCCTACCAGTGAGGGGGCGCGGGGTGGGGTACAGAGAGGAATATGTTGTCACTGATGTCATTTAGAACGGAGGGAGCGTGGCCATGACGAAAGGTGGGCCTCTCCCGCTGGCCCCGCCCTGAGGCGTGCCCGCTACCTTGCAAAACTCAGCAAGTCAATGTCCCTTTCTTTCCTTTATGCTTTTGTTGCAGTTTTCTTTTCCAAATCCCTACCTTATGGGACCACGCGTTTTGGAAACAAGTCACGAGTTCTGAAGGCTGCATTATGTTCGTTTGCTCCATCAAGTGCAGTATCTGTCACCATCTCTGCTTCTCTCTAAGGACCAGGATTTTTAGTGTGGCCGCCAGTGGCACACACCTAAAACTCAAATCAGAATGGAAACAGCCTAGGCTGGCTTTAAGCCTACGTGCCAAAACTGAATTGCACTAGAGGAAAACTCCGGTATAAGCAAGTCTGACCATTCTAATATCAGGCTTCTGGTAACCATTTCTTGCCAGCAGTCTTTGCTGAAACCAGGTGTCCCTAATAGGCTTACATTTGCTTTCTCCTGTGGATTTCCTACGTTTCCCAATTGCTGTCATTCTTTCAGAATTTTCTCTTGGCCAGTAAAGACACAAGTTTGTGTTCACGTTGTCACTCGACCTTCTCTACAAACGTGGAGAGACAGAAAGTGTCCTAAGAGGCTATGTGGGTGGTCCAGTTCAAGCCTATCTCTTTAATACAATCTTCATGCTTCACTCATGTAACCGCAACTTTCAGCAGGCTGTGTCTGCGGTCGTGCCCCGGCTCAGTTCCCATTGTCTTCTTAGCCTGGGGATTTCTTAACAACTGATTGGGATTTTCTTTCATTCTTTCTTTACTTTCCCTTCTTAACATGTGTATCCCATAAGGTGAAACCACCCCAAAAATAAAGGGAGAAGCAGGAGAAAGGACCAAAAGCGGACTGAGAACATGGGTGAAGTAAAGGAGCAAAGGCAGAAGGGAAGCCACGCTGCCCCCGAAGTCACAGAGAGGACCGGGAGACCGGCGTCTTATGAGGCTGGGTGGGGGGACTTAAGGGACCTGTGGGACTGCAAGGTGGCAATGAGGCAAACACTACAAAGGAACAAAAGCACCTGGGCGGGGCTGTGACATTGGTTCTGCATTTGAAGAAACACTTCCAAGTGCCTGGTGCGCCGTGAAGGGACACTTATTGTTCAGGCTGGAGGTGGCTCAGACAGAGAATCGGCATTTAGGGTAGGAAACGCCCACCCTCTCGGAGACAAGGGGGAGAAATACGAGGAGCGGTGCGCGGGGACCCGCAGGGACGGGCTGCAGCAGCCTTCGCTCCCACGGAGGGCGGGTCACCACGCACAGGAGCTGCGAAGGTTGGGTCCAGAGGGAAAGGCAGAGCAGCAGGAACTGAAACTGCAGCAGAAAGTCGGCTTCCAAGGCCTCGCCTTCAAAACCAAGCAGAGCAGCCAGGCACGCTGAAGGCAAAGCCAGGCAAGCTTCCCCAGGGCTCCGCCCTTTGCAGGCACCCGCGGCCCAGGACAGGCGTGGAGGCCTGCAAGCTGGCTCCTCAGACTGGCCTGCGTAAATGTTCCTGTAGGTTCAGCACCATCCTGGCCCTGAGCTTCCTACCAGCAGAGCAGATACATCCCATCCCTTCAGGGGGACACTCCATTCACCGGCACCAAGCAATGTCTCCCTTGGGACTCCACGTGGAGAACACAATGGGCATTGTCCTCGATTTGAGGTTCCCAAGAAATGCAAAAGGCCACTTTCCAATAGCTGCTGTTTCCAACGACCTCCCATAAAACCCAGAAGCACAATATAAAAGTGTCCCCGTGACGACCATCCTGCCAAGGAAGAAGCCAACAGGCACTGGAGACCCGGTGTAGGGCTGCAAACCACCAGCAGGATTTCTGTCCTGAGCTCGGAGAAGGGCAGCGGGGTCTGCAGCCCCTCTGGGGACAGGGCCCGGGCCGCAGGTGGGGATGGCATGCTGTGATCTCAGCACTAATTATAAAAGGAGCACAATATTGATTCAGCTCTGGGCAAGTCCAGCTTCTTTTGTCCAATCAAACCCCCAGTAAAATTTCCATTCCTTCCCTTGGGGCAAGAGAGGGAGAAACAAAGAAGGCACAGACGCCTGTCCTTGGGTTTTCCTGTCCTTGGGTTTCCCGCGGGGTGAAGAGGGAAGAACTGGAGGAGCCTTAGCTCTGCCTGCGCCCCTCGCTGGATGTCGGGGGAGCGAGGACAAGGCTGCTCCGGGGCAGGGGTGGGAGGCAGCAGGTTTCACGTTTTTCTCCCTGGATTTGAAATTTCCTGTGGAAGGACAGTTTTATTGCTTTTCATCAGTTTGGGGCTCAGACTATTTTCTCCGTCGCCCTACTCGCTAGCTGCGATGCCGAGATAAGTTTACATAATTCCATGTCGGACGAACGGTATGACTTTTCCCGGTGACGGCTTGCCGCGTGCAGGCAGTGTCTGGCAACGGCCGCCCGCGAAAGGCGACCCTAAAACGTTTGATTTCCCCTCTTGTCCCTGCAGTCCTGTCCCACTGGCCACTGAGAAATGAGAGGGACTGAGCTGGATGTCAGATACTCCAGTGCTCACCTTTCCTCCCTGCACCAACTACATTCCCCCAACGCGCTCACGCACAGTCCTCCTGCGTTAAGGAAGAAACACATCCCACCACGGGAGGGTCATTTCTGCCCAGGAAGCCCCCAGCCTGAGATAACGACCTGGTGGCCAGGCTGGGTGGCCACGGCTCGGGAGGGCAGTGGGCAGCTCTGATGACACTGTCCACACCGTCCCTGCTCTCCGCCTGTGGCGGTGGCAGCGTGTCACTAACCCTCTGGCTGTGTGTGTGCCCTGCAGTTACGAAGGAGTGGCAAAAGCGAGGCGGGCAGCCCTGGCAGCTCATCGAGCCCGTCGACGGATTCCACCCCAACGAGGTGAGTGCATTCACGCCGCGCCTGCTGACCCCTGTCTGCGAGGGGGTGTTCTATTTGACTCCTCCCCTGGTGGTATGTTTATTAATTTGAGAGCAAGGGAGAGAAACGTTGACATGAGAGAGAAACATCGATCCATTGACTCGCGGGCGCGCCCCATCTGGGGATCAGGCCCACAGCACTGTGGTGTACAGGACGATGCTCCAGCCAAGGCTGTTATTTTTTAATACAATCATGCATTCCAGAAATTCTTTGAGGTGATGTACACATGTGGGTTAAATAGAAGATTCCATAAAAATACAGTGAAAACCGAGTAAAAGGAAAACGAGGTAGAGATGATGCCTGGCTTCTTGACTTAATGTCTGCAATTCGTATTCATGTAATGTGCGCAGGGAAATTCCGGGAAATGCCAGTGAACACCTGCAACATCAGCTCTGGGCTTTTCAGGGGCAAAGAGGGGCATAAGCCACAGCCTCCACATGATAAATGATGCCAAGGACACACAAAAAAATCACAAGTTTTCCTGAAAGCGAGCCCTGTGAGAGATCTCTTCTGCGGATCCTTCTAGGACGGACGCTGTGAGCGGAAGGCAGGGGGCGGGATAACAGACGCCGGCCCCCTCCTGCCTCCGCCCGGTCCATCATCCTGGCTGCAAGCAAGGGAGCTCCGCTTTTTTCTGTCACACGTAGTGGACTGACTGACAGTACGTCTGTATTAAAAATAATAATAAAAGAAGGACTTCCAATCAATATGGAGGTGTAGGTAAACATGCCTCATCTCCGCACACAACTATAAGAAAAAACACAGCTACACTACAAAACAAATACCACCCAGAATTGTCAGAGAACCGAGCTGTGTGGAAGCTGGACACCTGATGGGCAGGTCGGAGGGGCCGAGTGGCGGAGGGGTTTGGGCACCGGGAAGCGTTCTGAGCAGCAGCAGCAGCAGGCAGGCAGGTGGCCACACGCCACAGAAGCACCCGGCTGGTACGGGGATCTGCAGAGACATGCCAGTGACTGTCAGATGTGGACACACCTGAGGAGGGCCACACGTGCTAGAAATGGCAGAGATGCCTGGACAAAACCAGCGCCGTCCATGGGGCCGCTGTCTGGATCCTGCCACCGGGCACTGCAAGAGTCGAGGACAAAGGACGAGGCCCAAAGGGCCTCGCTCAGTGGACTGGAAGATCCCACTAAACCAGGACCCCTGCATTCGCTTGCGTTCGGCTGGGCCAGAGTTCATCCCAGGCTCGGCTCACATGCAGCAGGGTCAGTGGCCGAGGCAGACTCTGAACCCCGCTGTGCACTGGCAGGAGGAGGCTGTCTCCACCCTGGTTCTGAGGACCAGGGCTAGGGGGAGGCGTGGCAAAAGCCTCCCCGGGAAAAATAAATGAGCGTGCATCCCTCTGATGAAACGCAGTGTACCGAGTGAACACAGTGGTATCGATCTACCTTCAGTGCCACAGAAATATGTTTGTAATAAGAGCCAAGTAAATAGTAGCAGATTAAAGACTGTTGTGGGGATGAGGACTCGGCTCTACGCATTTGTGAACACTCCTGGGACTGTGTGCCGCCAGAGTTAGTTTTACTGTGTGTAAATTATACCTCAACAGGAGGAGATTATAGAATGATATTTACAGAGGGAGCCAATTTGCGTGTGCGCACACGCACGCGTGCGTCAGAAAGCCTCTACACCCAATGTTAGTAGCGTCTCTCTCTACTATAATTACAGATGGACTTTTATTTATTCTGTTTCTCTCTTTTTGCTTTATTGCCTTTTCAAACTCTTCTCAAAGGGATTGGCATTGCTTTACCATTTTAAACTATGGTTTTACCATTTTAAACTATTGCTTTGCCATTTTAAACTATGAATGAGGAAGCACACAGACTACCTGGGTTTCTTCTTTAGCTCCCTGGTTGTTGGGCTTCCTTCCAGTTCGCTTTTCTGGCAGTTCTGGTTATTTTTTGTTTTTAAATGTGTTGTTGTCCTTTTGGTTGTGCGAGGAGGCAAAGTGAATCTACCTACACCTCCGTCTTGGCCCAGAGTGGCTTCCCATCCCACTCTCATTTCAGACTCAACATATTAGCAATGCACACTCATAAATACAGGGTCCAGCCCAAATAATACCCCTTTTTTATTACAAAATCTTTTATTACAAACCATAAGCATGTAATTCTGTAACATAACAATATTACACTCAAGTGCACCCTATGGCATTTTAGGTGACATGTTCAAATTAAAACTATAAATTATTACCCAACCAACCACTCTCAAGCAGGACTCTGCTGGACTCTGTGTTTTAATCTCCTCTGGAGTGAGAGCCAACTGATTGCTCTCAAACCAAACGGCCACCACATACTCAAACTGAGCTCTGCTGTTTTAACTTCCTTCTTCTCCTCCTCACCCCGCCTCCTCCCTCCGTACTTTAGGCTGAGAAGTGAGTGGCCACAAAGCCGGGGCACCACATCACTGTTAGGAAGACAGCGTGCAGGTATCGAGCGGAAAGGCCATAAACAAAGAAGAGCAACCAGTAACCCTCTGCAGACCCGGCAGCAGTCTCCTGTGTGGGGAAATAGCAGGCAAAACAGCCGCAAGGCCCGTCCTCTGTCTTCAAAGACACTGACTGCTTTGTGTGCGAGATGGTCAGACCCTCTCAGAAACCACCTCTGGACAGTCAGCCTGTGTGTACGTGCACACATGTGTGGTATATGTAGTGCAGTGTGTGTGAGTGGTGTGTTACACACCACATGGATATGACCAAAGTGCAGAGCTGGATGGCTAGAATTTGGGGTCCACCTCTGCAGGCTCAGGACCACATTCATATACTGGAGACATTTAATGCAGCAACTCCATCAGATCTCGTTTCCCTAACAACTGCTAAACTCTCGAACCCAGTGTAGGCCCAGAAAGGTCTTCAGGTCATTTCTCTAGCCCGCCCACTTGGCAGATGACAGAACTGCAGCCCTGGGAGTGGGAGAGGCCCCCCAGCGTCACCCCGACAGGCGGCGGCTCTGCCGGATGGAATGGGCCGTGGGACCTCCCCTGCGGGGACGATGTCCCCACGCTCTGAACAAAGCCCGGCTGGCCCTGTGCCTCCTCCGTGAACAACACGTCCCCCTCTAGGACGGTCAGCCATCGCAGCCCCTTTATCACCAGCACTGAAAACCCTGGTGCCCACAGGACCCCCTGGGGCCCGCAGGCCTGGCCGGGCCCCGTTTGCGAACCGAATGAGGGTGCTGTCTATGGAGGAAGGCGGCGCATCAAAAGCGTGTTCAGATGAGCCAGAGGATTGGAAAACGGATCCTGCTGACAGCAGGGACGAACAGCAACCCGACGGACAGCAACGCAGCCAGAGGGGGAGCCTGCCCCGGCCCCCAGGCCCTCTGTATCCGCAGCTCCTTCCCACCCCACCGGGCCCTGCTGCCGGTCCGGCCCCGCTGCCTGGGCCCCCGCTGGTCCCCCACCACACCGCCGTCCACCACACCCCTGCGCCCTCGCCACACACTCCGTGTCCCCTACCACCCCACTGTGCCCCACTTGATCCACCAGGTGAGCCCTTCCTTGAAAATTCAACTCTTCTGCGAGGGCCTGCCCCTTCCCCACCCCCGGCACAGTGGCACCTCTTGCTGCCCCCCGCACCACGGGGTTGCTCGTGTCGTTGGCACATCTGGTCCGCTCGCTGGGCTGGGAGTTCCTCGTCTCCCGGGCCCCAGCCTTAGGCCTGCAGTAAATGTGAGCTTTCTGCAGAGAATAAACAAATGGCTTTCTGGGAGAGCGTGTTCCTATTACTAAGTCACGAATTCGCACGCATTTAGCAGCTTAACACAATACTCGTTCCTTATCTCACGGTGCCTGAGAGTCGGGGGAGCCGGCACAAGGTAACAGGGTCGGCCAAGGCTAAAATCCAGGCGCGTCCCCCCAGCCACGTTCTCATCCAGAGACTCGACCGGGGAAGAGTTGCTTTTAAATTCACCGGGGCTGCCGGCAGAATTCATTTCCTTGTGCTCATAGGACCGAGCTTCTCGCTGGGCGTCAGCAGGAGGCCGCCACAGCCCTCACCCCGCGGGCTTGCTTCCTCCTCCGTCAGGGCAGCCACAGCCGGGGGGAGCCCCCAGAGGAGCACTGCCAGCAGCGCAGGATTTTAGATGATGTCACACCAGCACTCCAGTGACCGCCCTTCACCTCTGCCGTATTCTATTGGTCAGAACCAAGCGATAGGTCCCACCCTCAGCAACACCGGGGAGCATTCAAAGGCAGGGATGGAGGAGTCATGGGGACCGCCCTAGAGTCGGTCGGCCCCACAGAGAACAGAGGAAACCTTGCTGGTTGATTCTTTTCTTGGTTGTAACTTGCATTTTACTCCTTTCCGCAGGTGGCCTCGCTGCTCTTGGCTGACAGCTTCTGGGACAAGGTGCAGCGCCAGTGGCCCGAGGTGCTGGGAAAGGAGAATCCATTCAACCCCCAGATTGAACAGGTGTTTGGAGACCAAGGGGGGCACTAGGTCCCTCAGGGACGTGCGCTCCTGGGAGCCTCAGGAAACGGAAGTTTGCTGCAGGGCTGCCCTGTCGCGGACCCGCTGGGCCTCTGCAGCAGCATCTTGGCAGGGGTTTTCCCTCCTTTAAGCGCGTATCTGATGACCAGTGACTCTGCGAGCTGCTGGGGCCCTTCCCCGCCAGCCGGCCCTCGCGTAACTTTGAATAAAGTGCTTCAAGTGCCATTCCAAACAAGGGAGTGTCTGTCCCCTTGAGTGGCTAATTGTAAAAACAAACAAGAAATCCAGCGTATCAGACAAGTTATCCAGGGTTAGGGTTAGTGTCTTTGTTAGGGTTAGGGTTAGGGTTAGGGTTTGGTTTAGGGTTACGGTTAGGGTTAGGGTCCGGGTCTCAGAGTGCAGGGGACTGACCCAGCCTCTATGGTGACTTTTAACGAGGGCTCTTCCTGGGACGGCGGCTGGCTGGTCGCCCAGGACTCTCACTCCCAAAACTATAAACAGAAAATTATGTACAAACCTGAATATTTACTGAGAATGAGAGAACAAATCACAATGATGTACAAATTTTTTAAGTTGAGAAATACCACGATCCCCACAGCAGTCAGTAATAATGACAATATTTCTTTCTCTCGAAGATTTTCTTATGATCTTTGGCTGCATAATCGAGTCTCCTCCCCCTCAAACAATAACTTTGTGATATTATTATCTGTAGATAGAACCAAAAGATAAAATTGGTTGTTTACTGTTGGTAATTTCGAAGAGTTTCTTTACACCCCTTATTACTGGTAAAGTCATATAAGGCTTTAGGGTTGTTGTCAAGTGGGCAAGGCCTCTATCAAGTTTCTTTTGTGTGGTAGCGACTGAAGACCCTGTCTCTGTTGCAGTGCTGTGGAAGCTTTGTGGTCCTTTAAGCATAGGAACGCTGAGAAATTCTATTGTGTTCCATTTTCATTGGCTTGTCACCCCCTCACCCATCTCTGATTGCAGGCACAGATTGGGGGGCAGCCTGTGCACACCCAGACCGCCCCTCATCAGGCACACCTCCCTACAGTCTGCCCTACACGCTTGCCTGACTCAGCCCGGAGGTGTGGGCAGCGCGGCCGCATGGGAACCAGGGCCAGTGAATGAACTCACGGCCTCTTCCGTCAGGGGCCAGCTGGGGGCAGCCGTCTGTGTGTCTCTCAGGGGCCGCGGGCAGAGTCAGCATCCTTTGCTCACAGCAGCAACCGCCTTCCGTGACGGTGCCCCCTTCCCCGCGTCTCTGTGCTTGCTTTCTCATTCTCCTTTCTGGGATGGCCTCCCAAGTAAACTAGCTGCGCCCACAGCTTGGTCCCAATAAAGACAAGAATGAAAACGATGATGTCTGTATATAAGTGTGTATGTGTTATTACTGAGCACATTCCTGATAGGGAGAGGCTTGTACTTTGGGCACCAGTTCGAATGGAATCTCCCACTCACCATAGACACTCAGGGATTGGAGGCATTGCCACAGGCTGGCTTCCGGCTTTGAACGTTTCACCTCATTGTTTCTTCGCCCACTTCCCGTGCCGGCAGCTGCAGGGCACGTTCACCTTGCGACCTGACTGCCAGCCCTGCTCCTTTGTCACACACAATGCTTGTGGGCAGGGGGAGTGTGCATGAAGCCTTTCCGATACCAGGATGGCTAGCGATGACCGTGTGCACAGAAATGGCCGCAAGCCACATAAAAAATATTTCTATAAATTCAACCTAGATGAGCATCCATTTCAACGTCCCTAAAATGCCTGTGGCTCCTCCAGAGCCACCAGTCAGAAGGGAAAGTATGACAGAGAAGGTGCAACTGTGTTTAAAAATCTCATGCTTTCGCAAATTTTAGAAGGATAGGATCGCATGAACGTGTTCCTGGGCCCTTCCCAGGACTTGGGAAGGGACCCTAAAGGTTCATCTTTATTACACGTATCTGTTCACAAAATAACTTGTCAGGTTGCATGTGAGCTTCCATTTGACCAGAACACTTAAAATGTTGTCAGCCCATTAATTTAAGTCACCTAGATAGACACCCTTGGTTCAGCAGGACCAACATATGTCCCCAACAGGTGGATGGATCAATAGGAAGCCAACATGCCGTCGGGTTTCAAGCAGGAGAATGAATTGAGAGTGGGGTGTGCAGGTGCGGGCCTGTGGCCCCCAGGCACTTCCACCTCCTTCCGAGGGGCGTGCCCGCATGGGGCACCTTGCTAACTGCATCACTGGTCTTTGTGTTCCAACATCTCGTGTGATTTTCAAGCACCAAAATACCAATACTTGTTGGGGTGGTGTTTTGTTATTGTGTTTTTAATCTGAGATCTGAACCATTCAGTGTCAAGGTACACCCAGAGAATACCGCGCTAAAATTTTGTATTCCTTTACAAAGAATTCTATTCATTCCATCCTCTTTTTACAATGCTTCCTAAGTTACTTTTTGGATATCCTAATTTCTATTTTCGAGAATACTAGTAAAGTTAATCATCTTGTATTGTTTTTGCTGTTGTCTTTTTCACACAAATGTTTTCATATCACATTGAATGTGTTGCAGATACAATCAATTCTTACTATTCTTGGCAGTTACATTCTATGATGTTGCCTTGAACACTCAGTTAGCAGGTACTGAACTTTCGCTCCTAGGCTGACCGGGAAACACAGGGTTGCATTCCAACAGGCCTCAGATCACAACATGATCATCAACCAGTCGATACATAAACTTGTTTTAGGAGCGCTTTCTGTTTAAAGACACCTTATTTAACTTATAGTTGATTGATTAACGTTGAACTTGGGGCCAACAGCACTATGACTCACACCTGAAAGAAACTTATCAACACACCTATCTTCGCCACAGAGCGCATCCCAGCCTTCTCGCCCTTACAAACACTGCACAGCACTTTAGCATCGCACTTGGTTGACACCGTAAGCAGTGAAATCACCAGTGAAAACCATAGAAGGGCCCAAAATGGGGCAATAAATAAACCGTGGAAAGGACACTGGCTTACAAAAGGCAGAGCTTCGCCTTATTCAACCTCAGCTGGGGACGTGCAGGTCAGATTGAAATTTTTCACTGCTCACATGGGGGTTACAAGTAAATTTTAGCAAGTAGGCAAATTCACAAATAGAGAATTCACAAATAATGAGGACTGACTGTGTCCTGAAATATCACTTCATCGCCATGGACACTTTGAAGCAACTGTAGTTATTAGACCCCTTATAAAAGAAGCACACATATTAACATGTGCCCATGTTTAAATATTTCAAAATATTTTTAGTGGCGTGACATTTGGTTCCAACACAATTGGTTTTCTTTATAACCTTATATGTGTGTTTGTTTGTTTGTTTGTTTATATTTAAAAATGTGGGTCTGAGAAGGGACCCGCAGGCTCCCGCCGCCTGCCAGGCAGGTGCGCGACACAGAGATGTCACGTGCGCTGGGTGCATGCTCTGAGAAGGAAGAACTCCACGGTCTAAAAGTCTGGAAGCACAACCTTCCTTCTTTGCCTCCTCAAAAGTCACAGGTGGAAGTTTTTCAGTAGAACGTCTGTTCCACTCACCATTGGCCCAGCATTTCTGACCTCAGCCTTTTCCTCACTGAGGAGCTATTAGCAGCCTGCAGGCTGGGTGGCATGCTCTACGCAACCCGCCTTGGGAAATGCTGGTTAGAGGAATTCACCTCTGGCCTGGCCAGTGTGTCTCCGTTGGTTGGGCATCTTCCTGCAAAGCAAAAGGTTGCAGGTTCAACTCTCGGTCAGGGCACATGACTGGGTTGCGGGTTCAGTCCCTGGTTGGGGCGCATGTTAAAGGCAACCAATTGATGTTTCTCTCCCTCTCTTTCTTTCTCCCTCCCTTCCTCTTGCTCTAAAAATAAATAGATACAATATTTAAAAAATAAAAACAAGAAGACTTTGCCTCTGACCAATGCACTCACTGGTGGCGTTTGGGAGGAGTTTCTTAGGTATGTGAAGGCCAGAATCCTCACTCCTCGCCTTCCCTGTGAGGCAAGGCATCTTGGGAATCCTCATTCCGATGACAGCTTTCCTGGTAGCACAAAGTGACAAAGGCGGCACCTGCCTCAGCCCCAAGACACATACTCACCGTGCTGTGTGGATTTCCTGACAAACGGGTGCATCAATATGCTACTAACGTGTCCGTTTCTCATTAAATCCATGTTTGCCCCGCGGGATGAGCTCCTCCAATCAGATCTGGCAAAGGCTCTAGCATAAATATTCACACAAACAAGGGCTCTTTTAATCTGGTCCTTTGCTTGGGGTTCCAGGGGGTGGGGAGGGGTGGCTTTCAAAGCCTGTTTTCTGGGTCACTTCTTAAAACCGCAGTATCAAAAACATAATGGTCTCCTCACCGCGAATCTGTCATTAAGGAGGATTACTCTTCTGGAGTTTTGGATGGATAGACATGCAGAAGAGAAATAAAGAGCACCAAATGAGGCTTGCTAAGGATTTTCGGGGGCGTTGTGCTCCTGGCTGGCTGCTTTGTTTATAATTAATTACAGGGAGCATTTACAGGAACCCTTCCAGCTTCAGAGCGCTGCGAATGTAACTCCGGGCTTCACAAAGCTTCAGTCAATAAACGGTGGCAGAAGGTGGGGCGGGAGGACGCACCCAGGGCTTTCGCTGCAGCCCCAGCTCAGGGTGCCTGCAGCCACCGGTGGCTGTGAGTCTCACCTGAGGATTCCGCCCGCCCTCCGAGGTGTGCCCCTTGCCCAGACTCAGCAAAGCCCCCAGGTGCTAATGTTTTGACAATGACCTCCACACTGAAGTTCTGCAAATGTCCGCTGGAGCCCAAACGTGCAGGGAGGCTGCCAGGGGAGCGGACAGGTTTGAGGGCAGGTATGTGGAAACCCCCGGCTCACAGAACTCTCGTGGAAAGAACACGCCTCTGCCCTGCTGCCTCCTGGGGCTGGGGCACACGTCAAAACACAGCCAGGGGGACCCTGGCCGGTGGCGCGGCTGGCCGAAGCAATGTCCTGCACAACAAAAGGGTTGTGGGTTTGATCCTGGGTGAGTACACACACTTCAGTTGTCACACCTAGGTTGTCGTTCAGCCCCCCATCGGGCACATATGGGAGGCAACCGGTTGACCCTTTCTCTCTCCCTCTCCCCTCACCCCACCCCGGCCTCTCTCTCTTTCTGGCAGAAGAGTCCGTCTAACAGTAACCCCTGAGTCGCGCCCTGGCTGGAGCCCCTTACCTGCCTCTATGGAAATCCATCGGAGGCCTCTGCTGTCCTGGCCACCCTTCACTTTGGCTGTGTCTGTGCATAATCAGTAACACAGCACGGCAGGTGGCGCACAACTGCACCCCACACACCCCTGCC